CCAAGAAACAGGATCAATCCATCAGGCCATCGGCTGTTGAACTAAGGCATCTATAAAAGTAAATATTACTTGATCCATATCCTCACGAATAATTTAAACCAATGAATAAATGCTTTGGGTAATATGACTCAGAATCTTCTGCAATCAGACTGAGACAATCAGTGATTGAGACATGTGAGATGGAATTACGACCAGTTCCCGAATTCCACCTAAGATCTCAGTCAATGGAACTGCTAGAACTGCTCCATTATCCTTAAAAATTTCAGGGGTTAGCGTATCAAGGGTTACTACTCTCCCTCACTTCAGATTTATATAGCCATTTTAAATTCATTTACAGTTGGAGGATTTACGCGAATTCTCCATCTAGGTGTACTGGAGATCGTGGATAACCTAAGTGTGACAGAAGGCCAGATAAAATCATTCCTGAAGTGTTCTGTACATCGATCTAATCTCCTGAATTGAGAATGAATATTAATCCAATTCTTCTCCGAGATAGTCCCACAGTCGGATTCCTAATACCGGTTTCCTTGATAAGGCGAAACAGTTGTCTACTGTTATCCATCGCCGAATACTTTACTATCTCTCTTACTTTCGCTACCCACCACTGTTCGCGATCATTACGTAGGCTTTTTATCAGCCTACGCCTAAGCTGACTACTCTCTTCGTCATGTTCAGAGCAAGATCGGACGAGTTTCCGAACATCTAGCAGTTTGGTAAATGCTACCAAAACCTATTCCTTTTGTTTAACCTTATGGATTACCTTAATAGCAGATATCACTATTGTTTTTACAGCTTTCTGGATAACATTCCAAGCTGTCTCAGGGTGGACAACACTTACCTTGCTGCCTAACTTCTTTTCTAGTATTTGCTGAAATATATTTCTATCTTTGCTATTAGAACCATATGAGGCTCCCTTGCGGTGTCTTTTCTACGTTCAGTAAACCTCAAACTAATACGTGCTCACACCAGAGCATGATTTGAATCTAAACTTGTGCTCCATAACGAGCGGAAATCTTCTATTGAGCCTCTCCACTGATGGTTGATAGCAATGTGATCTAGTTCGGTCCATTGTTGGTTCGACTTTGGGGGTTCGCCACGTCAAAATGTGTTTTACTTAGGCTTAAATTTAGTATTTTCTAGAAATAGGCCGTTATCTGAGCATCTCTGAAGCAGGCGATCATCATGATCTATTTGATTAGTCATAACTCCATAGGATCCACCAAGGTGTCCTTCCTTTCGCAGAGGCGTAGCACCTGATAATGCAAAGCAACAACCGATATCATTCCTGTGATAATTGTTCTTCTTAACTTTTAGCCTGTGCGGTGAGTTCAATATGCGAGGTAATTATCTTCCTCTCTTGTGCCAGGATTTGTTTATCCCGGCCAACCCTCAGTTTGTACGTTTATTGTGGCCTCTCTGCTGTTGTCTCACAGGTCTACGTCGTCTTTTGCAGTAGCTAATATGGCTAGACAGGTCGTTCTCCGAACTTTACCAAGCTTGGAGTTCCTCAGTCAGCTCTTTACGATTCCTGAATGTCATGGCTATCAGACGTGTTGACTAAGTTAACTAGTGTGGCAGCCAAGCAATGCAAAGGGCCTTCGCGGTGTTAAGCCCAAGGCTACGTCATAGCCATCGCCACTGTTGCACTTCGTGCACCTGGGCTTCATCCCAGCTACCACTAGACGGTTTGGGCACGCCGTGAACTACCATACTGGTCTGCTCCTGGGTGCCTTGCAATATGCTGGCTGCCGCTCGCAGTGACCACGGCTTATCGTGCCTGATGCGTATCGGGGAGGACAATTTAACCGACGGTCTCTGGGTTGAGAGAATTATGTCTTCTAGAAGTTGTGCCGAGTCTAATGTTACCCTTATTGGAGGGGATTTCTTTGTGTTATAATGGAAGTTCTATTTGTCATCTAGCCTCCATAGAGTTTGTCCAAGAAATTTACTAACTATACAGTTAACACTGCCTAGTTGATCGCCAAAAGCATAGGACGGTATGTTACAAAAATTGATACCAAATCGATACCAAATATCTTTCACTGTCAACCGTGAGGATTCAGTCCCAACACTCTTATTTCACATAAACACGGTTCATTTTACTTCGCTCCCGTTGAATGTTAACCGTACAAATAGAGTTAGCTGGCTAACAAGTGTGACTATACTTCGTAGTGTTATGATGATAGATCACACTATCTTCAGCAATTCTCCTTGCAGACTTCTCGGCATTTCATCTGAAGAATATGCATAACTTTATGTAAGCTGTCGCTGCTTTACACAGGTCGCTCTATTTCCCGATATAATAACTGAACAGGATTTTCGGTGTTATTGCTAAGGATAGAAACATTATCACTGTGCGCTGCAGCCTACATTTGTCAAAGATGCAAAAAGATCAGCCGCTGTTTTTTGGTTTATAATTCTAAAATTCTGCTTGAATCCAGGAAATAAATGCATTTTAAACCATACCTTCCAATAGTATCAGCTGTTACTGATGTATATCTGAGTGCTCGTTTGTTTCACCCGTCTGTATAAAGTTACATTATGACTAAATGATTTCCAGAAGTCTGCTGTACAACCTACCATTTGGAGTTATCGAAAAGTTGTTATATTGATTTCGAGTTCTTAAATGATATCATTCTTGATGGATTACTTCTTTAAAACATTCATTAGGGATTTCGAATCTAGGGTAGCAGAAATTTGTTTGCCTTCCAATGGAATTATTTCTGAATGATTAAAATTCATGTAGAATGTGGATATTGATCTACGAAGCTCTAATTAGATACACAGTGTAAAGTAAATGTACTTGTTGATTGTAAATATCACAACGCTGATTGTTGAATTGGTTGTCTTTCATTCAACCGAGTAAGAAACAAATATTGGATTGTCAAATAAAGAACTAGAAATATTTAGTGAAACGAGGTCTCCAGATATATTTTCAATCTCAATAATTAAAGCCACTTGAAAACTGGGTCGGCAAAACTACTGTTAATTGGTACAGGCTCTAAACATACAGTAAGGGCGTATATTCTTCCAAGCTTGCATAGAATAGATAAAATGTGGCTAACAGCAAAATCCAGGAGTCGAGTTTCGTTCTTTTAGGGACTAAGCAGCTAGCTGTGAGTGGATTCCAGATTTGATGTTCACTTTGGGACCTCAGCTCATTACATTTTCGTCCAAACGTTAATGCATTATGCACTGAGTTCGGACACTCACTTATGCAACGGGTATGCATATTTAGTTAATTTGTAATGATTTAGGTTATCTTGTTCTCTCTAGACTACACATTCATCTTGTGACAGTTAGTACGTAATACACATAAGGGATTGAGGCAATCTATCTCCACCAAGCATAATATTGCACAGTTGTTTTGATAAAGTCACACAATTCAAATGGAATCTACTTACATTCGGTTTGTTCGCCCCGTAGTCTCGAATGAGAACCATTGTCCTTATATAAATTCCTGTGATTTCCGTCATTATTTTGGGAAAACTAACAACTGAGGACTATCAACTTGTATATGAAAATGAAGCACTACTGAAGAAGTACTCATGATTTAACTATTTCTCGAAATCGTAATGCATAATGGTTCAATCAGTATAGTCTATTCGATGAACTGTGATAGGATGTTCCCTTAAGCTACTGACATTTCATTTGAACACGGTATGAGTACAGAACTAGAGCCATTTCTTGATAGCCACTGAAACTCAAAGTACTGACACTAACTAAGTGTGGAAGTAGGTCGCACACACTAACGTAAGAATTAAGTATAAAGTTACATTTTGCGTTTTAGTGACCACTAGAGCATCATACCTGTTTCGTCAGAGTTAAAAAGTGTGACTATACAGTTTGTATTGATAACATCCAGTAAACCAAACGGAATTGAATCTGTTTATAGAGGTTATTATCCTTCTCCGAAATACCTCTGCTGCTCAAAAAGAAAACAAATGCAGCTAGATATTGAAGTCAGAATCCGAAGTTAACTGCACATCTGTAAATCACGTAATAAGAAGACATCATTCAAAGTTAACCAGCATGTTTGAAAATAATAGTTTTCACCAAATGTCCTGGTAAATTTACTACCGGTCAACATTAACGGCTTACTCACCACTATTCGACATCTATTTATCTCGATTTGGACATGAGTTTGTTTGTAACACAGATCATAATCCACTTCGTCCTCTTGGTTTGTATTGTCTCATTGAATTCAATGAAGTTTAATGTATAAGATTATTCTAATTATTATAGGTTAACCGACAAAAAATCTGATGTAAATTTCTGAGTAAGCAAAAGGTAGTCTAACATTTGCTATTCTAATCGGTAATTGATCAACCGTACAACAAATCAATGTCTGACTATTCGTAAATTTAATTAGAACATCATGCTGTTAATAATTATGCAGTGAGAAATGTAAAGATTTTAGTAGTTTCTAACACACAACAACAAGCTTAATGTTTACACAATAGTGAGTCAGAGTCAGATGCAACGTAGAACTTCGTACGTAAGTACATCAGTTCATATCCCCATACAACATCAGAACAGAGATGTAATTGTCAATTCAAATCCAATAGTAGAAGAGGTAATAATGGTATTAGGAGTAATCGGAGAGGTTAGGATTAGAAGATATTATTCAAGAAGTATGAGTCAGTGAGAAAAATTTAGATAGTCAAAACTAGAGTTGTTGAAGAACCCAGAAGGTTAGGATTTGAGAGAACACAGAGAATAAATGCACCGGCGCCATTGCGAATGATTTTGAGCCATGTCATTCAAGGTCTCTAACCATCGATTATTATCATCTCGTGGACCCCAACTAGGTAGTCGACAATTACCGACATGGCTAAGTCCACTTGTCAGTGACTTCATGGATTTCTGCCATGTTTTGGTCTTGCCGCCCCTAGCTTTCTTCCAACCCTACACCACAAAACATACCTCGTCGAGGCAGTCGGTGGTTAGGCATACGCATCACATGTCCTAACCACCTCAACTGATGAAGAACAAAATAGTGATGAGTTTATAATTAATTGTTAAGCTTCATGATGATGAACTATAAGTGAAAATGATTATTTGTTCCAATAATTCTTTATAATTCATACTGTCCTTTTATTTTCTGCACAATATCTTCCAGCCAATGAATGAGATAGATGCATAAAATCATGAAAAATGCGTATTTAGTTTCAATTGTTAAAAAATTTTTCATCAAATTCTTTGTCTTTAAACAATGTATACATTCAATTAGAAATACAATTTCATATACTCCAATTTCCTTTGATATCGTTTACTTTGAGTAGTTGTAGGAAGCTAAAATAAATAGATAAAATTAGTTGTTATCCCATAAACTCACTTTAATTGTATTGATCGGTATGGTACTTTCTTGTTTGATCACAGGTAGGTTAACTGGGCGTAACATTGTGTCCATTTGCCATTGTACATGTTGACCAGTTTTTTGTGTCACATCATATATGCCAGGACTTTTCAACATTGTTTATTTCATTTGTATATGTGAATTGAACATAAACATGAATGAGCGAAAAACGTTTCAACAGACAAAAAGACAAGCTAGTCATATTTCGTAAAGTAACATTATTAATGTCAAGCGAAACTTATTCTTAATATCATTAAAGTATCTATTATATACTTTGGTTGGTTCATCAGCACATCCTGATGAATATGCTCATATTGAGAATAATTGGAGGTAGCATAAAATACACGCTCAATTAAGAGGATGAAACGACATTGATAACATTAAAATCATTATTGAGAGGCTTTTCTGTATGATTTTTCGACAGGGAATCATATACACGCGTTCACAACTTTTTTATAATTTGATGTGATCGATATGATCGATATGCAGACAGCACATGAGTGGGAATGCTTGTCCGGTCGATAGATTAGTCACAACAAACATGTCTGTCAGCAGAGTACGGAAAGCATTATAGGCATGTTATGTGTACGAATATGATGGAGTACGATGACTGCCCCAACCTCTCTATCAGTCAGCTTTAGCCGATAATTGGAAAAGATTCGGATAATCAACAGACTAAAAAAATGCATAAGTTCGTCGTCTCCTAACTGGTTAGGTCTGAACCTCATACATAAAGCATTCTAAATCATAGGTGTACTTTGTGAGTAAAACAAGCACAGTTATCGAAATTCACTGATTAAAAGTTAGTCAGATAGCCATAAAACCATAAAGCTAGGTGAGGTTCTAATCCTATTATATCATTGTCAGTCTGTTGTACCCTCGCAAAACTAATTTGTTCCAATAAAAGAAGCATTTCAAAGTTTGACTAGTTTCAAAAAACTTATTTCGATAGAAGTGTAGACTTTTCGAGGCATCTTTTTGACTTATGACACCAGATTTACATCATGAGTGTTTTCAAGATAATTCAGTGAACTCCAAATCTAATCTTCTTAATTTTGAAATATGACGTACATGTTCATAAGATATGTGTACTAAGTATTTTTTAGACATAGTAACATTAACCTGACTTCCTCACGTTATTTTTCGATATTCTTATCCATTTTGACTAAATCATTTTCAATTGTTGATACATTAATTGTTTTTAGCCAACCTTGTATATCAAACTGTGCTGACTTCTAAGCATGGTATTGATCATTTATTGCTTAGGTTAGGATTATATTGTTCAGGACATATCTTTGTTTCTAGTTTCTTCGGGATACCAAAATAAAATGTTATTAACAAAATGGAAACGGTTTTGAATTTACCCGACAGTCGATGCACCTTCAAGAAATTTATTTGTTCTAGGAGCAGAATGGTTAAATGGTACTTTATTTGGTTTGACTGACAAAGACTTATCCACAATGTTTTGATAAGCTCCAGGATCTGGAGAATAAGCATTCTGAAATAGGAAATGAAGTGCATGAAAACCATACTTACAGACTTTATTCAATAAACAGGAGAGTAACACTACTATTATCAATAACCAATCCAATCTCGTGATGTTAGTAGGTGTACTGGTAATCATGTGACATTCTGATTGACTGGTTGAAAAATCAGAGCTTGACGTTTATAATGTATATTTCAGGCTTATCAAAAAAGCATTAACTATGTGGATAAATAATAATATCATGATGACTAAATAATGCAGTCTGAAAATAATTTGGCGTGAATATTAGCCTTTGACAAAATCAGATTATTTAAGCTTGTTAAAGGCCTAACAGATGGCAAAATAATTAATTTTTCAGTAGTTATCACTGTTTTCATTTTACTCTCTCATTGGTCTTGGAGAAACATGAAACGTAGATATAACTAAATAGACTGCTTGTTTTCTGAAAAGAGGTGCTTACACGTTGTATGGTAAATATGATTTCAGACTGGCATGAATAACTCTTTAACTTACATTCTGTTATTGCTTGTGAACAGAATTTCGCTGAAGTTTACCTCTATACATATTTTGACTCAGTCAATTATAATTGAATTTTCGTCTAGTACACAGTTTCATTGTAGACTTAAGTAGCAAATCATAAGTTTTGTAGATTGTCTGGATCTAAATACTAACTTAAGACAAACTAAGTTAGCCTACATCACCTACATTTATCATTTTTTCAGACAGACTACGATGCCAAAATAAAGATCAAGGATGTATGTATAAACTTCTGCGCTAGATAATTATACCAAACGTTTTGTGATTAGCAGGTGGTTTGACACTTACAAACAAGTGACTGTCCATAATACGTGCTTCTCCTGTTCCTATTATGGCACCCTTCTTGTTGAAATCACGATGGATTGAATTCTATAGCAAACATAATTAAAAAATTTTCAACTCATGCAATTCACTTGTGTATCATAGGTTGCTGGTCCAACCAGTTCATTGGCGTTTATTTTTGATAGAGTAATTCCAAATCGGTGGTTAGGTAGTGCTTCTGGATATAGCAAACGTTCCTGGCATGAACCAAACACAAACCGCTCTTTTCTTTTCTCTAGGATCGCTACAACCAAAAAGTCTTTGCGTTACATTGTCCAAGATATTTGAATAACTAATCACTTAATTCCTTTCATCGAATAGGTATTAGGCTAATAATAATTTCTAACCACTAACCAAGTTAACATGATTACATCAGCTACTTCATTAAATAATGATCTCAAGATACTAGATTCACATTTTCCGAGCCAACCAGGACAAAATTTACATGGACACACAAAGGTAGTCCATAAACCAAGAACTGACTGCTCGTTAGTTCTCTTTACAGATTTTCTGTCGTTCGAGTAACGCCCTAATAGACGACTCTAGACTCGTTAACAGGAGTTTTGGCTCAATGTTATATTTTGATATCTTGACCCTCTGTCCTTATAAAACAAAGGCAATAAATTAAGTAGACTTAAACTATACTAATGAAGGAAAATTACGGAGCTGACAGAAATCGCATATAAAGATACTGAAAATGATGGATAGTGCCAGATGCACAAACTACACCTGAATCTTTGTAATCAAATCATTTTTTCTACCAGAATAGAACGGTTGGTAAAGTTCAAAGTAAATTCACTCAGTAAGACTTCAGCTGAAATGTGAACGGATGAGCGATTCGATTTCTTATGCATTGAGAATTTAATTAGACATTACCTTCGAATGAGAGTAGCTAGCTAACGAAATAGAATTGTACCGGCAACAAAGTACGCTCTAGCTATCTTCTCAAGCATGATCGGGACACATTTTTCCCCAATCCTCTATATTCATACTCTTGATTTATGTTCCTCAAGGACAAGTGGTCAGGAATTCTTTGCGTCTTTAGGCAGAGAGACAAAGTTTGCGATAGTTAAGCACTGAATTCAAATCAAATAATTCGAATGTTCAATATATGCTCTAATTATTTAAAGGTGGGCGTGCCTTGAAAAAACAGGTAATTTGAATTACTAAGATACTCAGAAATTTACCGGACAGGTAAACAATTTGTATTATGTGGAGTAGCAAGATTAAAATTTAAATACTAAGACGACTGGTTCAGGAGTTAAATGGGTGAATGAGCTAATTAATAATCAGAGTAAATCCTAAATAACCAATGATGAAATTATAAAACTACGAATTTTTCGATACGTTTTCACCTACATTTTATTTTAGCTACTGCACTTTCATCTTTATCATAAAAATTCATGATTAACTCGACCTCGAAGTCATGGCAACGTTGATTCAATGTACAATATGTGATATATCCAATATTCAATATAAACGTAATCTAATCGCAAGCTAGTATAAACCGAATGATTTCTTTTTTCTTTCATTTCGGTTGCAGATATTCGCTAGTGTCCGATGGATGGTAGTCTAGCCACTCGATTGCACTGTTTCTAGTTAGTTGACAGTTCTCTATGAATTTACATGTGCGGTGATTTGCACGGGTGATTTATCTCGAGGCAGTAGAGTTTCCGGATACCAGAAGCGATCTAATTGCCAGGCCAGAGATCGGTTAGTCGGCATAAGAGCATTCAATGTTACAACAACTCACTGAGATAAAGTGTGCGCAAACCACGTGTTGCCTCCTAAACAACCTTAAGTATAATTCTGAGATGATAGATTCAAGAGTTGCGCTAGCCTTGTCTGAGTCCTCTTTGTAGCTCAAACTGGTTTCGAGACTTTCCGTGGTTTAAAACCAAGATTGCTCTCTGAGGAGACATTAGGGAGAGGACTCCCTTTGAGGGTTCATGTTATTTGTGTCGCATGGGACAGAATGTTAATAACGTGACATTTGGACTGGTTTGGTTGTAAAACTTCTTTCACTGCCAATGTTTTAATAGATACCGAGTCCTCTTGAAGCTCAGCTCGACGCTCTTCATTTCTAATAGACCTCTAGAATTAATGGATATTCTAAGAGAAATGGTGGTCCTCTGTGAAATTCCTGATGTTGACACTTGCCAACCCGCCTGCACTCTACATACATTGGTATGAAGCAATTCTTTCTGAAAGTAGTTTCTGAGCCAAAATAGAACTGTATCAGGGATTCTCATCTTCGCAACCTGGTCAATCGGGAGTATGTAAGGTTTTTGTCTCAAGGAATTTAACGTGAACCGGTAATTTTCGGTCACAGCAGGTTGTCCAACTATCCCATGCTGCGAGAAGATTGGATGCGCCTGACCTGACTTTCTGCAACCCTTGTGTAGATCTATGTGGTATGTTGTTTTTATCCATTTACTCATTCATTTTCTTACTCATCAGTCCTTCCAATACCTTCGTCAGTATTAGCAGTAATGCGATTAGTCTGTAACGGGCCGGATCCTTCATATCTCCTCTTCAATGAATGCAGAAAAAGCGGCTTGATTCCATTCATTTAGCGGTTGGTGTGAATCCAGTAAATGCTAGAACAGGTCACTTGCCGGTGGACTGAGAGCTTCTGCAGACAGCTTCAAGACTATATGTCGAATATTGTCACATACAAGTGGCTTTCCTTGGGCGCAAAGAGTTTAGTTTTCATGCTTATAGGTCAGGAGTAAATTGAATATTCCCTGGGACGTCAGCTGGTACTGATTTCGAATAGTACTCTGATCTTATTTGTGCATAGTGTTACTGGTCAATAAAGTTGGTGGCAAAGATCTCAGCTATCTCTAGGCCGATAAGATTTTCACCATTTGGAAATTTGATGATGCGAATACCTCTGTTTGTAAGTTCTTTTTCAACCGTAAACCTAAAACGACATCTCTGGAATGTCTGAATTTCAGCGGCTGGCTTTGTCTGGAAGTGTTTCCTATCACTTTGAATCTTGGCATTGCTTTTGTTTTCGAATGCCAAGTAAGAAAATCGGTTGGAATTCTTCACGGAGACAATCCACTTGTGCCAGGCTATCGTTTTCGGCTGTAGTGAGCGTCCAGTGCCTTGCCTAACTTATGTTTTTCTCATTCTATATGTGATTTGCTCGGGGCACATGGTGTACGACAGCATCCTGAATGATGTCTCTCACAGTTTAAGAGTGGTCATGCATTGTTAACCTCCATCTCTGTGGAGGCACTAGGGCCTGCAGCATCTAATTTCATATGACCGTGTAGTTTTCCTTAGTGTATTGCGATGGAAAGCTTTTTCGTATCATTGGGTTATTTTGTTTATGACCATGGGTACTTCTTCCTCTTAGTGTCAACGTGGATATCCTTAACTAAAAGTTGATCTTTTGCCAACAAATAATCAAAGTTTGAGAATTTTTCGTGCTTATTCCATCTCGTTGCATCACATATGTTCTCATTCTGTTCTCCTTAGATAAAAATTGACGTTGTCATGAAGATAAACGCATCATTCAGTTTTTACACTGTAATTCAGTGGGACGAGCATTTTGCGGTATTCGAAGTGATATTTTGTTTGGGAGCTGACATAACACATTATCATGTGTGGGCACGATAGAATGAGAAAAGGTGTAAACGGTAGCAAAAAGGTAACACAAAGTTGTATAGGCCGTGTTTGATGTAACTTCCAATTATTTTTGCAAACATAAAATATACGTTGGCTGAACTTTGTCTTCATACTTAATTTTGTTCTATCTTCTCAGATTACCATAAATATACCATACAGTCATATATAGTGTGACTAGTAAGTTTATCAAAGCATCTAACAACGCAGTGAAATTAATGTGAAGTTGAAGTTCAACAAACACAGTGATTTGCCTAAAATAGAGTTTTTTTAGTAATGAACAAATACAAATTGGTTACAACAATCAACTAGCAAAGTTTATTTCAATATCTGTAAAGAAAAGGGCTTCCTACGACAAGAGACTAAAAAGTAATTACAACATACGATAGGGTGAGTGAAAGCTGATAACTGTGTTTGATATTAACAGCAATTTATCGATAACCGGCCAGGAACTAAGACCAAAAAAATATGGAACTAGTTACGCTTAAACAAGATTTCATAGGGTGTATAAAACAGGGAATAAATATTCAAAGAGTTGAAAGAAGGTAATTTATAACGATAGCTACGATAGGCGCTATTAGTTTATGTAAATATCTTAGCATGTCACGCAACCATATAATTGGCGTTACATTACACATTATCAAAATAAGAAATTGGTTATTGATAATAAATAGGCAGTATTAGTCAAGAAACGAGAAATGAGAAAATTAGAAGGAGATTATTGACAAGAAAGGTGAAAGAAGGAATAATGACGATATTTCTCTTGTTACTGACAACCAGATAACTTTACTCAAACGATCATCCATTAGTAATGAAGCAAAACTAATAAGATTACCTTGTAAATTTTTAACGTATAATTTCTAACTAAGAAGGATTAGTTTTGCATTGTTTTTTACAGATAGTGTCATTTTCTATAAAAAAAACTCTCATCAGCTCATAAAAACAAAAGAAAGGTAACAAGGTCAATAACAAGAGACAAAAGAAAACATATTTTTAATTAATTAGTAACCATACATCATGAATTAACTAGATGATCTGATCATTTTTTGCTTTGTTTAAAACTAATGATATTTTTTGAATAAAATTATCCTGCTGTTGATAACAGGAGATGTATAGCTTCGACATTTTCCTTCTATACATAAGGAAGAGAGACAAAGCGAAGAGAAGCAGAAAGTTAACAGGAGAAAGGTATTCTTCAAATAATAGCATATACATTGGGATTGCGTATAATCTGAATTTAAGATACGAACTCTCAATCTCTTTGGTATATTGGTGAATAATAGTTTCCGATGACAAGAGATGCCTATTTTCAGTGGTATACTCAGTTGAGCTGTCTATGACTGAATGCCATTGCTCAGACTATTTATGAACAAGAAAAAAGTTGAGGAGAGTATAACTATACAGAATTATTTGCAATACAGAAGGAATAAAACCTGAGGTGTATATTATCTACTTTGGTAAGTGTTCAGTTCACTTATAGGGTTCCATAGTGGCTTTGAGCTTCACATACTGCTTGATTAAATAATTTCTTCAGCTTACCAGTCTGTCCTCTTGACCTCAGTTTATATCCATCAAACTCTTTTTGATCTGTCTATCGATTAATAATCCAAATTAATCACCTAATAGGTTTTTCCATAGTAAATCATTCAATCACAAATTCACTAGACAAGAGTGATATGTGCAAACAAGTGAAGTCAAGCAACATAGTTTTGATGATAGGAAATACAAAATTAGGAAAATATTCCCCCAATAATAACAGGAAGCTAATTCAGTTGCTAATAGAGAAAACTAACTATTCCATCGATCACAACCACATTCGCTATATAACAAACATATGACATCACAAAAATGCACTAACATGACATTGATCTATGTATAGATAGTTGTACAGCCTATATGTTTGCAGATTTATGAGTTTGGTTTAATCAAAGATCTGTTAGAAACTTAAATGGCAATGCAAGAGAATGCTTTTAGAAGGCTAACACAATCTAAACAGTGAAAAGACGTAATTGATCTGATCAATTACTAATTGGTTTGATCAATTGACTAATTGTTTTAAACAATCTAAACAGTAAATTATTCAAGTTTAATTGAACGAATTATCTATGACCTGATATTGAGTATGTGGACGAAAAATATATATGGCTTTTCAAAGGAAGTGATAGAGACGTTTGTTAAAAAAGATGTCTGAAATGAGCAGTGTTTTGATTAATCAATACGAAACGATTATTCAGAAAACTATGATATCTATTGTAGTAGCTCAAGGCAATTCAAATAGACTCAACATTATTCTCAAATCAATCACAAGCGATGATGTACAAGTTTTGAACCTAGAATGTACTCGAAAATTGATTGCATCTAATAAAAGGATCTGTTGATTAATTTACACTAAATAAAGCAATATTCACTGGTTAGTAAAAAATAAACATATTCAACGAGATATCTAGAGTTGAAAATCTTATGTAAACCAAAGGACAAAATGACAAAGGAAGAAAAGCCAAATACCATTTACAAAATAAATTGCTCAGACTGTGAAAAACACTACATAGGACAAAGTGGACAGCATCTCTTGAGCTTCGTTTACGTGAACACCAATTAGCAGTCCAACGCCACGACAACGCTGCGCTTATATCAATACATACCGACCATTATGGATGTATATTCGCTTGGGACAACGTGGAAATCCTGGATAGGGGGAGGAGAAAGAACACTAGAGAATTTTTAGAAGCTTGGCACACTCAAGTCAATCAGCAATCAATAAACACATCGACATTGACCCAATTTATCAACCAATCAGAAAAATCATAGGCG